GCTACCCTCAAAAAACATTCAGGATATAAACTATTTGATTTCAGGATGGGAAAGGAAGTTTAATTTCCCTTGTTTAGTTCTGCCTTAGAAAGCAAGCAATTTGCCTTCACTAGTCTATGTGCAATTGCACTTTTATCAAGACCTTTTTGCCTGCTCTTGCATGAAGATGTGCCTGCTGCTTAAAACAGGTAAGATGTCCACAGACTTGACTCAGTTAAAGTTCAGCTGGGCTAAAATTTTCTCTTATAGGTTCTCTTGATGTTTGTAAGTTTGACTTACATGATATAGGGCTTTACCAGAGCTTGGATTTGGAAACTCCTGTACTATTTTAAGAAGCAAAGAATTAATTAACACCTCAAATACTTTCTTTTTCCCTTGCAGATAGCAGCAGCGACAAAGTTAGTATCAACAGCACTGGACTTGAATTATGGTTATTTTTCCTATTGGAATAACCAGCATGTATTCTGGTTTTGCAAAATTTCAGCTCTTACAGAGCTACATATTTAAATTTTGCAAAACAGCTTCAGCTTTTCTTAGTGTAATACATTATTTTATCTGCATTGGACATGATGTGACTTTGCTTTTCACTGTGCTACATTTTGCAGCTCATTTTTCTTCTACAAAACATTCATATGGTGTTTGTGTGTACTGATAAATTCTTGGTGCAACTGTGGTTCATTGGTGTTGGTAATACAACTAGTAAATGGTGAAATACAGTATAAAGATAAAATTGCTTTGAGAACTGTGGAATGAAGGGCTGGATTCTGAATTCATACAGGAAAAGAAAACTAACGTCCATATACTCTGATTTGTGTATATTAGGATGATAGATGATTGAGGTTTTATTGGCTTTCCTCTTCTCCCCTTGCCTCAAGGCTGAGTTAAGAGAGAGCCTGTCTCATTGAGTTTTCCTTTGTCTCTGGCACCACCTTGTTGCCTCAGTGAGTCATTACTAGTAAACTCCTAAGCCTTATAAAGGAGACCAGTAGGACATGAGAAGTCAGCGGGATTTTTTCTTTATACCACTTTGGTATATAAAAATGTGAAAGACTGCTTATTTCACTGGGGTACTTGCTACAATGCAGTAAACTGCATGTCAATCATTACAGTTTCATGTATTTCCACACCTTTAATTACTGCTTTAACTTTCACATGTCATTTCATTTTTGCTATTAACTGTTTAAATTGCTTTACTCCATTTTTCTCTGTTCTCCATCCATCCTGAAATTGCCACTGCTTTTCTATATCTCTTTCTCTGTTATCAACTTTGGTATGTGATACATGCTCTTCACTAATACTGTGTGTCAAGAAATTAAATCTTTTGATATAATTTTGTACCGTACCTTTCACATTCTTTCAAGTATTAAATATGTTTTTAAGCTTAAGTTTTCACTAATGCATTCCATTTAACGGGCCTGATTCTTACTTGTAACAGTTAACATCATTCCTTACTTATTTTCCACCTTTCTTCCCCAGAAATAGTTTAAACCATTAAAGTACAGTGAGGAGGTAGTGTCAAAAACAAAAATTACTTCTAAAGTTTTGTTGGATTTTGATTTTTAATACTTATTAGAAATTTTGTGTCCTAGGAGCTAGTTTTTCCACAGTTTTCCTCCTGTAAATTGTGCAAAAGTAAGTGTACACTTAGTGGGTCTTGGAGATTCATGCTTTGGAATAACAAATGTAGAATTTAGGAGTAACTTATATAGTTTGAGTCTTCTGTTCCCTTTTCCCAAATTGACACATTGTTTACATCACTTACTGGAATCAAAGCTTTTAGTTACTGTACTCTTGACAGTGATGCTAGTGCAAGGATTGATAATGGTCTTTAGGTTACTGTGGGGAAAGTTTCCAGGTGGAACAATCACCCCACTGCTTTTCTTTCGAAGAGGGTACCTCCTCATTATGCCTCAGAACATGGCCATCTATGCTTTCAGATGGCGTGGTTCTGATCTAGGCTTTGCCAAGTGCAAACCACTTGGTGTGTACTGGGTGCTCCTTGCATGTGCACACATCTGTGTTGTGCCCCTCAGGAGCTAAATGGAGAATTTGTCAAGGGGCACCTGATCTGACCTAGGTAGACTACTCTGTGTTACCAAAACAAATTTCCCTCTCATCCCTATAGGGAAATCACTATGAGTTTAATAAAAGTATGTGCAGTGGTTTTAGTGGTAGAAGGAGAATATGGCTATTATTTGGATTTTAGTGCCCTTTCTAGCAAAACTAATTCAGCAGAATAATTAGCTACATTTCTGCTTCATTTCAGCTTTCTGACTTTTTCTTCTTTTCTTCTTTTCCTTTTCCTGTTTATGCTGGGAAAACTTTCTCTTGCTGTCTTACTCTGTTGCCTCCAAGGAAAAACCCACCCAAACGGTAAAAGTCTAAACATGTACATGTCTTGATAACACTGTCTTTTACTGTTTCAAGTGTTCCATCAGTGATACAAGGAGAAATATTTCAGTGGTGTTAGAGTAATTATAAAAGGCATGCTTAGTTCAGAAAACTGCATCTGTGTTTAGCTGGGCCTCAGCTGCCACCTTTCTGCATCGCAGCGCGGAAGCTGCCTTTAAATGCTGTGGAAAGTCACAGCTGCACCTGTGCCTTAGTGGCCAGAGCGAGGTGCTGTGTGAAGCCTTGCACTCACTCACTGCTGTGTCTGTCTGTCCTGGCGCAGCCCCCCGCGGAAGCACATCGTGGACACCTACACGGAGTTCTACCACACGCCCACCCACAGCGACGCCAGCAAGAAGCGGCTGATCGAGGACACCGAGGACTGGCACCCGCGCACGGGCACCACCCAGTCCCGCTCCTTCCGCATCCTCGCCCAGATCACTGGCACGGATCACAGTGAGTACCTCGGTGCAGGTGGAGCAACGGGCAATTCCCCTGCACAGGCTGGGGTTTTAAAGCTGGGGGTCAGGGAGGATAAAGGGAAATATTACTGTAAAACCCTGCTGCTACTAAATAGTTCAGGCTATGCACATTGCTGGACATTATTCCTGATTAAGCTGAATTAAAATGTTCTAGATAAATCCTAAAATTTCTATTTCTACTCCCAAAGATATTCAAAGATACATATTTGTTGTCTCTTTTCCCCCCGTATCACTAAAATGGCAACATTCCTGATCAAATTTAATGCTTCAGAAAAATTAGGTGTTTTCTGGCATGTGGAAAGTCTTTGTTAGTCATGCAAAAGTATGTGATCTGGAATGATATAACCAACCAGAAACGTAAATTCCTAGTTCCTCAGTTTATTCCTGGGTTATGTTTCCACTCTCTGCTTATGCTATGATGTGATTACACATATTGGTGGAGTGGAACAGGTGATGTGGTGAAGGTCATTCCCAGTCATATAATTTTATTATAAAACTTCAATTTCATGTTATCCTGTCAGCCATAAGTCACTAGCCGAGATTTGTGATTTTATGTGAAGGCCACCAGAAGTGCTATCAGGGGCTTTGAGCTCTCATTCTTCAGCTTTTCTCAGCTAGAGCTGCAATAATGAAGGCATTGAGGAAATTGGACCTCCTCTCCAGGGGAAGATTTGATTAAATCAGCTATTTCTAGAAGCCAATGATAACATTTCACAAAATAAGGGTTATTGTCCGTATGTGATAAATATTCTGATTTGGGACTTGATTGTTTTGTGGTCCTGAGTTCAGTTCCCTTCTTCGCAACTTGTAAGGGCAGAGTATAGGACCTGAACATCAAATAACATGTTATCCAGTAAAGATGAATTTATCATGTTGACATATGCTGTAAGAAAATTACCGCAACTAGATTTGCCAGCCTTAAAATCATGACTGGGAATTTTGCATTATCCCTTGTGCAGAACTCTAGACCCTTGGTGGGAAATAGCCTGGCTGCAAACAGACACTTGGATTATCACCTGATATAAACCCACTGGATGTTCATCCAAAAGAAATACCTCTTACCTTCCATTCATCTTCACCTTCTCAAATCACCTTTCTCAGTGCCAGCATGGAGAGTGGGCCAAGGGGGAGGGCAGAGACCAGCAGAGCTGCTTTTCAGCAGTCCTACTAGCAAAGGGGCTCTTGAAGTTCATGGACATAACTCATGTCCGTGGGGGTGGATTTAGGATCAAAGAATCCTAACGAGCCTTGTTGTATTTTCCTGCTGTAGTGAATGCTTTGGCACTGTAGAGAATGTCAGTGTTGTGGTACAGTGTCTTTAGTGCCCTAGAAAATAACAATTTTCTGTTTTCCTTCAGTGAAAGAACCAGAAAATGAAGCTGGGAAGAAGACTAAGTAAGTTGATGTTTTACATTTTTATTACTTTAATACATTGCATGTTTTAATTCTTAACTTGTAGTATTTGGTGCACTTGTGTGACTTCTGGGTGTTTTTTTAAATGTTCCTTCCCTTTTTGCCTTTTACTTCTGCATGTCAAAATCCAGATATTTTTCTCCACAGACAAACCTTTTTAAAAGTTGTTGGTGCAGTCCAGTAGTAATGTTTGTGCAGGAGTTTGTGTAGAGATTTTCTGTAAACTTGAACTGGTTTGTTTGCCTGTACAAGGTCAGCTTGTGTTTTCCTTTTGCAAGTCTCATCAAGCATTTTTGATTTGTGAGTGTGGATCTGATTGCAAGACATAGGTGGGAGGTATTGCTGTTCTGCCTGCAGGTGAGGGTCAGCTGTTTCCTTGCTTTGGGATAAGCAGTGTTCAAAAGGAGCACCAACCTGTGGCTAAATCTAATGGTTCTTGAAGTCGGTTCTTGAGCTTTCTTTACTGACTTTGACTAACAATGGATCCAGCTTTTTGACAGAGAGGAAGACAATGCCATAGAAATAGTGCATGGAGTTTGCATGCTCACTTGTGAAACTACTTAAGACAATCTTTCTTTCTTTCTTATTTTTCTTCTATCACTTCTTTCCACAGGGAAAAGGTTCCCATCCACGTCCTTAGCCCCAAATATACAAAATTACGTGACTGGCACCATGAAGTCTCAGCACGTGTTCTTAATGTCCAGTGATTTTACCCAAGTTGCAAAAGCAAAATACAAACACTTCCTTCCTTTCTTCTTTTCCATCTGCTTTGCAAAAAAAAAGAAAATGAAAAAAAAAGAAAAGAAAAAAGAAAACATATTTCAGTAGCCTTTTTGCGAGAGAAATTCTAGCCTTTTCTATACTTTTCTAACACTTTCCTACTGATGTGTAAAAAATGGGATGAAATGTTTTTGTGCTAATCATTAGTTGACAAAAAATACATATTTAAAACCTAACAACTTGGGTGGGTGAATCTCCCAATGTGGGGGAGGAGATGGCTGTTTCAGTTCTTTTTTCTGCCTGAAAGAAGTCATTTGCATTGCTGAGTTTGAGTTACTGTAGGCTATTAGAAAGCAGGAAATTTTGAACAAATACTAAGAAATTGTGTTACTTTGATTCTGGGGCTGGAGGAAGAAGATGAAGAGGGGATTGTATGCACTTATTTCAAATTACCATACCTACCAGGAAAACTATCTTGGATTTCACTAGATTTTCAGCAGGTCAGTTTGAGTGGTTGTAAATGTTTTACAAAGTACAGCAAGAAGACAGACTGCTTTACGCAAAGAAAAGAAAAATTTTAAAAATTATGTTCCAATGTTTTGAATTGAAGTGAAAGCTCAATATAAAGATTCTGCTGCTTAGATTACTAATATATTCGTTCGTGTTTTGGAAAACTTAACAATAATTGAGCAGAATGTTGCTGTGTAAGAGCTTCAACACATCTTCTAGCAGGGGCAAGGTTAGACAGTAGTATTTATTTATTTACAGAGTGAAGCTTATAGGCTTTCTTGTGTTTATGAAAGCTTCACAGCCCTGTGGTTCTCCTGTAAAATAATGTATTATAGTAGCTACACATCCATTAATTTATGCATTTTGAAGTTTGGAGAGTATTTTAATAAAATTTGCTTTTATCTTAGCGCTGTCTGTTTTTCTTTTGAGTCTCTCGGACTCCTTGAATATTCTTCTCATGCATGGGGCTGACATTTCTTTGCACCTTCACAGCTTATAGGAAGAAAAACAGTTAAATCCCAGCTGCATAGTAGAAACAGTCTGAATTGTTTAAAACTATCCCAGTATTTTACTTCCTGATCATCTTAAAAATGGGGTACATGTTCGTGGTGTTGAAATTCACACAAGATTTGCAGGATTAAATAAAATGATTGACCCTTATGGGAGTAAGAATTATATGAAGTAAAGCTTGCATTTGGCTTTTGCAGCGCTTGTTGGACCAGATAACGTTTGAGACCCCAAAAAAAGGTGATTGTGAAGCACATGTAAAAGCCCAGTTTCTCACAACTGATCAGTGAGAACCATTGCAATTGGTTTGGGTTTCTGCAGCTGACCTACACACTCCTCTGATGGAATTAGTCCTGTGAACAGATGCTTCTGCAGAAGACTTGCCGGGGTTGTTTTGTTTTCCTTTCCTTGCACGATGCTGGAATTTGAGAGGACCTTTGGAATCATTTTAAGTGTTACTTTCCTTTTCAGATGGTTTATGCTGCTATGCAGTACAGCAGTAGCTTATGGTATTTGTCATTTTATCTTTAGGAAAAGACAAACAGAAAATGGAGACTTCAGGTAATAGATAAGTTATCTAACACTAACAGTCACCAGTGTGGATGCCTAACACTGCACAGATTTGCCCTGGTAATGGTAGCCCAAGGGATATCACCTCTTGCACACTTTTTGGGTTAACTCCTTAGAGACAGTAGGGGAAAACATTCACTTCAATAATTTCACAGAAGAGTGTTTGGATGAGAAGTGCCAATCAGTTTAATTTCCATGCCCCTCCATCACGTAACTTGGCAGTGAGTACTGTGTTACTAAACCCAAGTGTGTTACTGAGTGCACATACACCACAATATAATAAGTTGATAGAATACTGCACAATAAAGTGAGAATGTGAAGTAGTGTATTTAAATTGTTGTGCTGGGTTTATATAATTTCTTTACAAACAGAACAAAATGCAAGCATTTCAGGGACCATCAATGCAATGACAACTATGAAAGGTTAGAAAGGTTATCTCTTAGATTCTCTGTAAAGGTTTCTTTTTAAGGGGTAAATGGTTTGACCTTCAGGTGTTTTTATGTTCTGGAGATGTCCCTAGGTAAGGAGAATATTTTCATGTTGTTATTAAACTTGCCATTATGTTTATCTATCTTACCAGCTCTTATCCTTTTGAAGGGTGAGTTGCTATAGTGAGAAAAAGAAGAATAAACACTCTCTAAATAATCAAAATAATAGAAGCCTCTGTTTTGAGTAAAATTAAACATAGTCATAGAGTTTATCTTTCAAGGATATTAAAGTAGTTTGAGAGAGACAGCCAAATTGTTAGTTTTCTATAAATTCATTGTAAAAACACCACTAGTTCCTGAAGTGGTTTATGAATGCATGAAATTAATTTCATTTACTGCTTGAAAGATGTCATCTCTTCACCCAATATCCCCATTGCACAGATCTTACTGGCATTCAATTTTGGACTTTTTGTTACTGTTCCCAAAAATGGACCACTTTTTCATTTGTATCTGACAAACACACCCTATCTCATATTTGATTCCCAGCATACATCTGATCTTTGGAAACATTATGAATGTTGTTTCATATAAACAAATAAGCTTAAATTTTAGAGATATCCTAGAAATCTCAATGTGACAATGAAATAGAAAATTCTCTTTCATCAGCAATCTTCAGTAAAATATCCCAATTTAATATTTAGCTTTTCAGGCAGGCATTGTCCAAGACAGATGTTCTGTGTGGTTTTACTATTGTTTATTTTTAAACTGTAACCCACTAGGGATTTCTGTTTGGATAAAATAGATTTTTCTCTTCAGCAGCTGGAAAGACAGGATATAGAAATAGAAAGCCCTCACTGAAATGTGTAGATTTCAGCTTTTAAAGCAGTTACTTAAAACTTAGAAAGGCAGTGTATAGTCTTTGTATAAAGTTTATGTGGTTTAGATTATTTCTATTTCTGCAGTACCCTATTTCCTTTTTGTTTTAAATGTTCGCTTTCAGCCATCTCCTTTTGAGCAATCAGCTCTGGATTTGGTTTTATCCTTAAATTGTAGAGTCAATTCATTGTCCTGAGTGAAGATTTTCCAGATTTGTAGTTCAGTTGATCCACGGTGACTGGAAAATATTTGTCCTACTCTCCGTCAGTCTTGAAACAATCTGTCATAAAGTCATGTATTTACTTTTCTCTCCCTCATGTCATAAATACATGTAAAGCATACCTGCAGATCTACCTGATGGAGCAGGAACCCAGGATACCTGTATTAATTTGAATAAAAGATCCATAGCTACCCCGACTTTGGAGATGCCTGCACCAGAATTTCCATCCACACCTTTACCGCCTTTGAGGTCTGCTCCCTGGTCATTCTTAAATATGTTCAATAATTTTCAGCACTTAAGGGTGCCTACTTTAATAAGATGCTTAATTCTGCATACTAAATAAGAAAAAAACACGCAGCCCCTGTGGCTAATTTAGTCTGCTCAAAACTTATTGTTGTGATTGCTCTCTGCCTTGTAGTTTACTCTTTTTTTGTGTCTTACAGTCTGGCAGGTGCTTCCTGCAAACAAAAAAAGTTTACTCTTTTTTTGTGTCTTACAGTCTGGCAGGTGCTTTTCTTCAAGTAGAGCACTTTAAAAAACATTTTCTAGATTTTTTTTTTCCTATTACAAATGAATCACGGAAAGGATATGAAAAATATTGAGAAATATATAGTGTAATGCTCACAAAACTAACCACACCAAAAAATTGTAGCAAGAAGCATATAAAACTTTGGTGTGAATCCCACTACCACTTGTGTCACCTTCAGTATTTTCTAAAGTTGTTTTCCATAGCATAATATAATCCCAAATTAATGTGTTCCATCCTTGTAAATCTCCAAGACTGCTTGGCTTTCAGAGTCTTAAAGCAGCAGTACTCTTAGCCGTCACTGGAAGTGTGTTTTGAATAATTTTAAGCTCTTAATTGTATTTTACTATAAATTTCATGGTCTTTTTGGAGGTTTTTTGGGGTTTGGGTTCTATCTTTCTTCTCAGTTTACTAACACTTTCCTGCACAGTGTTTCCTGTTCTCCATACTATTTCAATGTAGATTAAAAATCTCTTTCTCTGTGTGTCTTCACTTGGGTTTTTTTTTTACTGTGAATGGAGTGAAAACAATGCTAGACCAGAACCTGCAGCTGCTCTTTTGCCGATAGCAGATTCCTGCCCTGGCAGTGTCCCCTCTCCCAGACTTTCTGAACATATTGCTGCACCAGCTCCTGCGAGGTAAATCATTCACAGGGGTTTTGATTCAGTTAGCAATCTAGCCTCTCCTAGCCTGGGTTTGTCTGTCTTGGAGGAGAGAGGGTTGTTTTTCATTCACTTAAAATAAACTTCATTAAACTGCTGTGACTAGGGATTTTCCTGGAAATGGTAGGAAGGAGAAGGAGAAAAATTAGATAAAAATGAGGAAATTAATGAACAATCTTGTGGATACTAATTAAAACAAGGTACAATATTTAGTGTGTGTATGCTGTCAGTGGGTGTCCACCTAAACTTGGAGTAACTTTTCAGTGGTCTCAACAAGTCAAAAGTGAATATGGCTTTAGAAATATAAAAGTAATTTTCTAAAGTGTGGGTTATGTATTTGTAACACAGTGATGTGCTGTGATGCAGTCACAGAAAAGTAGGAGATTCTCTTGCAAATTTCCTGTCCCTGGATAGTTTTACTGGCACTTGCCTTGGCAAATTGCTGGTGTTTTGGAGGTCATCTATGAGTACTAGACAGCAAGAGTAATTTTAGGTAGAAGAGAGCAACAGTACTTTGGAGAGTGATTGATTGTTGTTGAAGGTAAATAACATTTTCTCATGGTTTATCTTACATTGTGAAGGAGTTTTTGAGTTCTAGGTAGCATGCACAGGCACAAAGTCGTAACATGAACAAAGCTGTTCTTACAAACATGAGAATTAAATGAACAGTCCCTGGTCCTGCCAGACAGACATTCATGCTTGAATAAAGCATACAAGAATACACTGTTGCCTACACCTGTGTGGGCTTTCTGCAGCTGGAAAACTGTAATACTAAGGTTTGGGATTGACCAGTTTTAAACTGTTAAAGCAGCGTTCTCAACTAGCTGAGAGAAGAGGAAATCTGATATCAGTACAGAAGTCTATTTTGGTGTCTTTTGAGGACATTTTGGTTGTCTGGGAAAAGCAGGTATGTTCATGAGCTAGCATGAGCTTAGGCAGGATGGGATGGAGCTGGTTGGTGGGTACTTTGTTGGTGACATTTGGTTTGACCCAATACAGTAAAGAAGACTTGGTTGTGATGTTTTCAGCAGCAAATTCTCGTAGATTAACCAAGATGAAAAATACACACAGAAGTTGTATGACAATACTCCTGGTGAGTTTATTTTTAAGCAGAAAACGTGATGAAAAAGGCAGTGATAAAAGTACTACTTCAGTAATTGATTTTCATGTTTACCAGTATGATTGCACCTACTTGCCCCATCCATGGATGTGTTCAAGGCCAGGATGGATGGAGCTCTGAGCAAACTCTAGTGAAAGCTGTCCCTGCCCACAGCTGGAGGGTTGGAAGTAGAAGAGACCTTTAAAGTCCCTTCCAATCCAGATAATTTTATGATTCTGCTGAGCTTTAGATGCCTTACAGATACCACTGCAACAGCTACTGTGTTCTGAGTAAAAAGTCTTCTTTAAATCCTAGCTCTGCATCTGAGTCCAGGCAAAGGAAATGTAAATTTAATCTCACTCAAGACCTGTGGCTCTAAATTTTGTTATTTGGCAACATTAACCTAGCAAGAGAGCAGCTTTAAAATGTAAAATCTGAAATGCAGCTATGTTCATGGTGGTTCAGGATGAGAGCTAAAGTATTTGTACAAATATAGAAGTACTTGGTAAGAATTTTCTGCTCAAGGGCAGGAATTGGAGCAGCTTATACAGAGTGGTAGAGTGAAGATTTAGCATTGGGTGTGGGAAGGAGAACAAATTATCTGGTACAGTCTGGATTCTCCTCTGAACTGAGAGGTCATCAGGGTAGCAGTTACAGTTGATATTTATATTTTGTTACTGAGCAGATGCTGCTGCTTTTGTAATGCTCTTTTGAGTGGGAAATACAGAACATCTGGTCTTCAAATCTCTTTTTGCAAAATGGCAGCTATTGGAAAGCTGCATGGAGCAATTAATGAGTGCCATGTCAGGCTTTTAGTAAAGCAAAATGGAATCATCCAAGGGTGAGTAGACTTGCTCTTGCTACTGAAGCCTTGAATTTATTGTCAAGGACTGATCTAGGTCCTTATTTTCTGAATGGGCTCCATCTTTTCTTGGCTGAAGCGCTGTAAATTGTAGCCTCTACTTACCCACCAAGAAGGACAAAGCTTGCCGTGAAATGTATGGAGGATCTGGATTTGATTTCTAGATTAAAGTTAAGTGAGCTGCTTATAAGGTAGACTTCTTTTTTATTGTAGTTTTAGATCTTTATTGAAAGCTTTAAATAGTTGTATGTCTATATAACCAACTACTGTAAGTTATAGTGTATTATTACTCTATTTCATATATGCAATGTCCTCCTGTAAGTTTAACAGTAAAATATTTAAGAGCAATGACAACCTTTCCAGAAAGTTGCAAAAAGTCATCTTAAGAAGTAATCCTGGCAGTGTTGGACCATATAAACCACAGAATCTGGCACTTCCAGAGAAAGTGTATAACTAATATAAAACAGATGTGATGCCAGCAGGTCTTTAGATTGTATTTTATAGACATGCCTTTTACAGTCATGCAGACCAACTTTTATGTTTTCTTTTAATGCAATTGTTCCTGATATAAATACAAAGACGTAGTAATAAGTAATAATAGTTATTAGTCCTGATTTTTGTTGTGCACTTTCTCATAAGTGGCCAACCAGGAACATTCTCTGCAGAAGTTGTAGTCCAGGCTGACTGTACTAAAACTGTCAGTTTTTATGGTTATTTCAGTGTGATGACAAGCAAGAGGAAGTAAAATACGGGGGAGAGATATTGCTCTCTTGTGGTGAATGCTACTTGTCTTTCTGCTTTCTTTTATTATATAGACCTTTTGTCTGAGAACCATTTGCAAGTCTTAGGCAAGCATACACCTCATCTTCCCTTCAGTCATTCAGATTTTAAATGCCAGCAGCCAAGTAGCCTCAGTGTCTGAAGTGTCATGTCCTGACATTAGGTAGTTTCTTGTATACTGATTGTGCTCTTGTTCAAGTTTATTATCTTTTAAGTAACTACCCAAATAGTTTGGGTTTGTGGTTAAACAAGTGCTCAAGCTTTAGCTGTAAAAATGCCTCCAAAAATTGTTTTCAGCATGGTGTGATTCCCAGGGCATGAGTATTTGTTCCTACCGAAGGAGGTAAAAAAGCCCTCGTCTGCTTTTCACTTATTCTTCTTACAAAATATACAAAAATACCAGCTAGAAAGAATTGGCCATTGCTATTTTGTATTTTTAATCAAATGAGAAATTTCTTCTCTGTATAATGTCTCATTGTAATTACTCATGAAATTAACATCAACTAGGAAGATAACCGCGCCTGCTCCAGATGCAGCAACCTCTTTGCCGGCAGATGAAGCACCTCCTGTCCCCAAGATGTGTGCTGTGGCCACACAGACCACCGAGTTCCCCGTGCCTGCTGACCCAGCTGGGGGGCTGCCGTCTCCAGCCCTGCATGTGGGAGCAGCCCTCGGGCTGCCTCCTGCACTTGCCAGGTACATCCGAGTCAGCTGTGCTAGAAAGGTGCAGTCAGAAACTGTAATTTTGCACACATTGAGTCGCAGAGTGGTTTGGTTCACAAGGGACCTTAAGGATCATTTAATTCAAATGCTCCTGCCACGGGCTGAGGCACCTCCCACTAGATCAGATTGCTCAGGGCCCCATCCAACTGGAGGTGAACATTTCCGGGGCTGGGGTGTCCACAGCTTCTCTGGGCAAAGCTTTCCAATGCATCACCATCCTCATAGTAAAGATTTCCTTCCCAATACCTAATCTAAGTCTCTCTTCTTTAGGTTTAAAACCATACAGTTTCACCTGACTCTTTTTTTGGTGATGATGCTGTCCAGATGGAGCAGCTTAAAGGTTTCCTTACCCTCATCATGCTGTGGCAATTTATATAGTAATTAGAAATTTAAGTAGCTTTTAGGTAAAAGTTCTAAAAATAATTTTAAAATGAAAGCAGCCTTTTGATGGAGGAGGAAAGCAGTCATGGGTAGGAGACTCAGCTGGGTTTTTTTGGCAGAAGCTGGTGACATGAGGAGAATATAGTCACCCTTGCTACAAAATGTGTGTTTTTAAATTGTCCTGTATACCAAAGTTTTTGGAGGAGAATACAAGCTTTAACTTGTGTAGTGATGGGACATCCAGAATATAAGTCTTTATCAATAGGGAAAGAAAGTGTAGTAATTACCACTACAGGATACCTGAAAAAACCAGGATACCTGTTTTGTATGTTTGTTTATGGATAAGATAGCTTAAGGAAAAAAAAATAAATTAACTCCTGAGCCTTAGTTACTATTGCCAGAGGTGTAATAAGTGTTTGAATAATGACTTCTCTTCTCTTGCTGCTTTTGGGCAGGCATGAAGCATCTCTGCCTACTTGTGAAACAAATTCTTTCAATAAAATCTCAAGCTTTCAGTCTAAATCATCTGTAAGCCATACAAGGTAAATATTTTGAGGTATATCTACAGCAGGCTGCTAGGTGTAAGCAAGGTATTCAGGCATTGGTTTTGCATTGAAATCTGGGAAATGGTGTATAGTTCTGTAGGTATTTAGAGTGTTCTGTCCATCTTTGTAATTATTTTTAAAAAACCACAGCAATTCAGTGAATAATCTTGAAATTTTAAAATAAGAACCCAAGTTAGAGGTCAGAATTGTTTCAGTTATTTTGGAGCCAAGTCTGGGTTTTTCCACTTTTTTTTTTCCTGTTCAAATCCATTTCCACCCTTAAAATAAGTAGAGAAAATGAAAAGGGGGTTACACACTGAATTTTTTAAGAGTGGACCTGCAGAAGTTATATCACTAAATATTCCGGTTTACTGTTTATTATGAAAAAGAGGTCAAGGTAAATGATCTTCATGGCTAATTCTCTGTCCACACCATGGAGACTTAAATGGATCCATGTGGAGAGTTCTGGGCCCTGGTTCAGTGGGAATGACCCAGGAATGCAAGGCAGAGTCTATGATGAGGAATTTAAAGGCTTACAGATGCTAAATGCTCACTTGATGAGGGAATAGTTTCATTTGTGGGTGAAATCAAAATTGCTGTTCTCTATATTAGTATTCAAGTTGCTCACACATTGCCTGATGTCTCTGTGAGCTGGAAACTTCCATAACTCTCCAGTGGTTAATGTGGACTGGTGTTGTACTGTATCTCTGTCAATCTTTCCTACTTTCTCTGTTTTCTCCTGCATTGGCTCAAAGCTTCTGTGCTGCAAAAGTAATGCTGGAAGAGCCTTTGGGAAATCTGCCGATCCTTGGACCCTCTCCTCCTCCAGTTCTTTCTCCTTTCGAGCAGAGATCAACAATTAAGAGCATGGCTGCTGCTGCAGTGTCTGCTGCTATTGCTGTCCGGGCCAGGTAGACATCAACTTCAAAAGGAATGTTTTATAGGTTGGTTTAAGGAGGTTCCAGTTCACACAAGAATAATTGGTCCCTGGCAGAGTTGTGAAATCAATCGGCTCTGTCACAATACTGGGCAAGTCATTAGAATATGTCCACAGCTCCCATGCCCTATATATAGCTTAGCTGCTCTGAACCTTGGTGAGTAATTTTACCATTCTGTTCCTCATGATACCTGTTTTACAGTTCAGTTAGTAAATTAACTGTAAATAACATTTGTGTTACGTGAGTGACAAAGAATAATCTGCAACTTCAAGCAACTTTTTGATGCTTGAAAACAATAGCTTGCTGAGTTCCATCTAAATCTTTACTGCATTGCTTTTTATAAAGGCATGCTTAGAGCAAACATTTTGACAGATTTATCAGTCGTCCATTCATATCAGTAAAATACTTTTTAATAGGCAATAATACCCATATTTTTGTATTTCTAAATTGCATAGATGTTCTAGGCTGCTAATAAATTATGTACGTTAGAAAGCATACACAGAATCAGAAAACTAAAAAAGATGAAAAAAAATTCTCATTTATTTTACTGTTATTAATGGTAAAAACCTATGAAAAATATGCTTCTTGCACCTTAGTGGGTTGTCTTGTGCCTCCCCTGAATTGTGCAACCTCCACTTTGTGGGCTGCCTGTTTAGACATAATTCCTTCATCAGTTTCCCTGGGTTCAGTTTCTTCAGACAGGCTTTTCATAAGGGATTTTGGGTTATCCGTGGTCCCGGCCATCCTGAACTTGGTGTGGTCACCTCATTTGTTTGTGGGGTCTTTTTACACACTTGCTAGACTCTACGAGCCTAGTGCCTACCGCTCGCTGCTGGATGCCCTGCTCATCACGCCTGTCGCAAAGCCTCCCCTGCCAGCCAGCGCGCCCTCCAGGAAATCCACAAGCGCTCTGGAGTTGCCAAAGAGCAAGAGGTATTGTCCAGGTGTGGTGTGTGGTTGGCACTTAGGACTCGCAGGGAACTGGCTGCTCCTTCAAAGCACATTTCTGTTCTCTGCATGCTTGTGCCCGTCCTGGTCTTTGACATGAGGTTGCCAGCTCTAAACCCTGCTGGTTTCATCTCCTTGCACACCTGGACTAATGTGTGCACCCTGGACCTGCCAATGGTGTTTGTGCAAGTCCACCATACTAAAGCAGAGGTTTTCTTTCCTCACTGCCTTTAAGTGCCCCCTAATATGCATGGTGGTGCTTGTGTTGTGTGGTGAGCCTCTGAGGGAGGCAGTGTCACTCTACAGAGGCAGCTGGAGAAGAAACAAGAGATCCTGGCTTGAGACTTCTGTGTGGGTGAATTATTTGCCACAGTTCCTTGAGCAACTAAGCATCACTTTAGGTCATTTTTTTAAAGCTCACTCTGAATGTATAAAATAAATCAAATAACTGGCATGCAGGCCATCAAATGACTGTTTTAAAAATTATTTGCTGTCCAGGCCCTTTGTTCCAGTGCTGATTCTGTTCAGTGCACAGGACTGTTTGTTCTCCTTTCCTGACTGCAGCGATGTTAATGCTTGCTTCAGTGGAAAGCTGCTTTTATGACTTCAGCTGCAGAGGCAGGAGTTTGCTTGGTTATTTTACAAGACAGAGTGTATTAAATTGTACTAAGAAATAATGTATGAGTTTTCTTGTACCTATTTATAGTTTCACAAGGCTTAGACCCTTCTAGAGTTAAGGCCCAACTATAAGTAGAGCTAGATCCACTTGATGTAGAAACTTGTGTTGAGTAACAAGTATTAGTTCTTTTATTTCTGTTTTATGGCTTCCAAGGTGAACTCAGTCTCTAGAGAAGGTTAAAGTAGGCCTAACCTCAGGGAGGGGAAGTAGTTTATAGGACACAAACCACCTTTATTTGTATGAAAATTTCTAAATTGTAGCATATCCACTTGAAAAAGATAAAAAAGGAATGTTAACTGGATTGTAGTGATATAATACAACTTAAAATACCAATTTTTGCCACTGAATGATCTTACTAGAAAACCTTTTATGTATGCATTGAAAGAGAACTTCTTGAGGAGTTCTGATACGTGTCTGTGCACTACAGGTGAAGCCCAGTCCATGCCATCAGCAAGACATTATTCTTTAGCTGCAGTGTTTGTTTGGTGATACTTTAATAGAGTGAAAACAAATTCTCTGACTTCCCTTTTCTTTTTTCCTTCAGTCATTAATGTGCATTGTTTATAGCAAGTGAAGATAGTTTCCATTAATGTAATAATCTTTCTCCTTCCTGAATCTGTAACTGGCTTTCTGTTTGTCCATTGTTTGCTCACTGTATGGGGGAAGCTCTCCTGGTGTTGAAGATTTGTTTTTGGAGATGCATTCAGTGTTGGGCTTCCCAAAGTGTCTCCATTCAGTTGCTGTCCCTTACAAGTACGTGGGGCTGTGTGTTGGAAAAGGCAGCAAACAATTCATTCTTCCACAGCTGAAGTTTTGGAGGGTCTTAATCTGTTTTTCTCTTCCAACTGATAGAGCTGGAGAGAGATGTGCCACAGAGCCAGATAGTCTTTTGGGCAGGCTTATATGGTCTCTCTACACTGGGAGTAGAGAGACCATATAAGCCTGCCCAAAAGAATATTTCAGTAGTGGATATATATTGAGGTTGAATGGCGTAAAATAAACATCCATGGCTTTTTAGGCAGTTTTAAAGGTAACCTTTAAACTTGTGAAAAGTGTATTTTTCTCTTAAGCCGTTGCAATAGCCAGGCTATCCTGGTTATTCAGGTTGCTGCCACAAGGCTGTGGCATAAGATGCTAAAGGAAGATGATGATTTTCAGGCTGTTAGGGACGTCCCAAACAGGATATGACCTAAAATCCAGGACATGTGATACAGCAGTACAGTTAGTCTGAGAACACTGCATAAAACAGCATTTTAAAAAGGCTTTTTCGAGGAATAGCCAGTGTTGCTCTGAAGACAGCATACAACAAATGAGGGTAATGATTTCTGGTTTCCATATTAACATCCTTGGTCCTAAGCTGCTGCATTGGTGAGGAGGGAGAGGTTTCCAGTAGATAGAGCTGAAGAAATGAAGCTTTGTGCTGTCTTGTCCTGATGAATAAAGGACCACAGCCTTTGCTGTATGGCTTGAGAAACATGTAGGAGAAGAAGATAAATGTAGTGTCAACAACTACATAATTGTTACTGAATTCCAGCAAAGATCAAGCAAAACTAGTCAATTATGTCAGAAAAAAATAATAGATTTGAGAGAAATGTATTAATTGAGTGTGAAACTAGGTATTAAAATGTCTCTGCTTTAAAATCCATCTAGTGACATACTGTGAAATGTAAATGAATGTAATGATGGAAAGCTATTTTAAATGGCAGCTCACTTCATTCCACAATGAAATAGTTGATAAACAGAGCTGAAGTCTTATGTCCCATAACTAAAGAGATAATTATACAACAGAATGCAGTGGACTAACTAGTTCAAATAGAACTAGGTCTGTTTGGCTCAACCAAGGAAACCAAGTAATAAACTGCTTTGGAGTTTTCTGGCTCATATATTTCAGAACTTTCATGAAAAGGTGATGAATCTATTTTACCAAGGTAGCTTAGGCTTCTTTGCATTATCTCTGGGGACAAACTCAGGAAGGTTATAGCTATAACAAAAACAGGGTGTTGATTCTCTTCTGCAGTAAGGTTCCTCCAGATATATTTCCCTTTTATCCCTCTCACTTCACTGACTCTGCTCCAAAAAAGCTGGCTGTCTAAAACTGCTCTGTACTGGGTAGCTGCCAGAGTACTTGACCTTTTTCTGACTTAGTAACTGGCCTGAGGTGGTGGTGAGCATCCACACGTTTTCTTCCCCACCAGACTCCTCTGTAATGGGCTTTTTTTGAGGTGTATAATAGCTATGCAGTCTTGCACTAAGCTAAGTGTTTCATCCTAATGGCAGCAGGGATGGCCTTGAGTTTATGGGGCTTGCGTGTTTTCTAACAAACGACACATATGCAGCACAGGAAATGATGTATTTAATGTCTTGCGTGAGCAAGAATTGGAGCTCTGCCTTAAAATTAAATCTCAAGGCAGAAACACTGGGAAATTTTGGGAAACACTAGCAAGAATGGGTGTTGACAACTCTTTTGTTTTTGGCATGGCTTTTGGTTTATCTTCCTGATGCTATGCTACATTCAATTCCTTTTAAAAAAATGGTAGTCTTGTCTTGTGAGATGAGCACTGGTGTTAACTCTGAGAGAATACATACTCTGAAAGGTGCTTTGAGTTATTTCTGTGATAGGGCACTGCTTACAGAGGGGTTACATACTCCCTCCTGTAATGTGATATAGAAATACCTCCACCCAGATGATTTTCTCTGCTCTTTTTTTTTTTTTTTTTTTTTTTTGCTTTGCTTCTTTCTAGCAAGATACTGGAGCACTGTTAGGTTAAGATGAAATATAAACACTGGCTTGTAGTAAGGAGAAGGTCAGCACTCAGTGCTTCTTGGCTTCTGTTTCTCTATTGTTACACCAGAAAACCATTGCAAAAAGCCATCTGTATTTCCCTTGTTCATGGAGTTTTTTTGTCATTCTCATACCTACCTTTATCTGGTTTCCTACATATATATTTTCAACTATTGTGTATTTCGATACTGGACAAAATATAGCACATGATTTGTATGTCAAACAATTGAAACTTGAGATCCAGGTCACAGAATTCCTGGCTATCTGGAGAAAGCATTTACAAACTGTCCTTCAGATAGTACATGAGCTGTACTGTCAGCAGATTTCCTCAACCACAGGGGACTTGTGCCCTACTTCCACAGTTTTTCTGGACAACAGAACAAGTTGGTTTAACAAGATACTTAAACCATCATTTATAGCTGCAGAACTATTAGTAAAATACTCATGTACCTGACTGAGCTCTGTGCTCAACTGATAATTTTTACAGATGGATAGCCAATATCTTGGGCTTGCATGAGGAGAAGGTCCCACCAAATCCCTTGAACCTGTTTGGGAAAGTCGAAGTGACTTGGCCCTTGTTATCACCTTAGTGCTCTTAGAAGTTACATGACAGAGAGCTCAATTCCTTTTCAGTTATTTAACAGGTTCTCCTTTGGCTAAAAACATCTCCATCATTAGCTTCCCCAAAGAATGTGTGAAGAAATTGTGGGCAGCATTGTATTGGAGTTGCCATGGAAGGTTGGAGGGAGGTTTAGGCATCTATAGCTCCAGATCATGTGTTTTTATTCTCTGGTGTTTTGTTTGTTTGTTTTCTTGGGGTTTGGTTGGTTGGTTGGCTTTTTGGGGTGTTTTTGGTTTATTGGAGTTTTGTTTGGTTTTGGTTTTGTTTGTTGGGTTTTTTGTGAGTTTGAGGTTTTTGAGGGAGGAAGAGCATCAAAACCTCTAAATACATTCAGAAGGATTTTTCAGTGCAAATTTCTTAAAATGCCTCTGAAATGCATTCAGCCTGGTCTCTGAAAAACTGGTGCTTATATCAAGTGTAACTTGGACCCACTTCCTCCCTCACAGGAGGAGGAATTACTACTTGTTTTTTCTAGTTTTTGTTTCCCCCAGTTTTCCACAGTGCTTGTGTTGACCAGGAGACAGGGTAAGTCTGAGGAGCCTTTTGTGAGCTCTGAATAAAGTTTGCACTGGCACTGGAGCCTTGTGTGTCCCCCTCAAGCCTCTTGACTTGTTCAGTAGAAATTTGTTTTCCATACACACACTTACTTTGATAAAATAAGGCTGCACTGTGTGGTAGGAGCTGTTCTCCATGGAATTTCAGGCGTGTCTGTTAAGTATAAGCTAGCATATGTAAAAAATAGAGAGGTGTCTTTGGCTTGCTTCTTTGCCAGACATTTTTCTTGAGCTGTTTTTGCAATCTGTTTCCCTTGCAACACACTTCCAGAATTATTTTGATTAATCTTCCCATAGCTTATTAATCTAACTTCTCATGGGTTTTCAGGACACAAAACTGAGTCTGACAGACTCATGTTTCATCATTCCTTGGTTCTTGCAGTGTTAAAACCCCTTGACCAAAGGCTGACAGCAGAGCATTCACAGCTCGCAGGAAATGTTAGCTTGCAGGGATGAGCCTCATGTTTGCATTAATTTTTATTTTGGAAAACATTGATTTTTCCAGTAAGTATTCATCAGGTGGAGAAGGAGGAGTTTAAGAGTTGTGGAACAGAGTTAAAATGTTAATGCTAGAGGCAGAAGGGTAGGTGTGTCATTAATAATATTACTAGTGTTCTGACATCGAAATGTTCTTGACCTGCAGCTGACCTGTGAGTGTCAGCTGGGAAGTCTGAGAAAGTGCTCACACAGAGCTTGGTAAACAAATTAGGTTTATCATTCCTCCCTCAGCTTCCCAATGACGACATTGAAAAGCAGGTGGGAGCTCTCTTCCATAATATATTTATTTTCTTAAATTTCAGTATATTTTTTTTGTCTCTTCAAATCCTGTATTTTCTAGATGGTGAAACTTGGGGGTCATCATTGTACAATATCCTAGTGAGTTGCAAAATACTAGTTGGACTAAATGTGGGCATTTTACAGCCATTTGTAGAAGATAAGTGCGCTTCTGGAAGGATCATCACTGTATTTGTAAACTGGAGTTTGAGTGTTTATCATGTAGAAAAACATGAAGTAAAGTGTTGATGAATTAACTTTGCAGCATGATTTCAAGTTCAGTTTAAAAGGTTGGACCTCTTCTGAGGGAGATGCTGGTGAGGGTGCAGTGCATCTTTGAAAGTGAGATAAAGATGTGTTTGGTTTCTTTTTCTTGGGCCAGTTCTCATAAGCCCTCAAAAGGAAACTAACACACCCAAGAATAGCTTAGCTATTACCTTTTGGGGGCATATAATAAGCAGGATGGCTTCTGCTGCAGTGTTAGAAACAGAAAAGGTTTAATAAAAGGCAAAATAAGAAAGAGAAAAACTCGAGCCAGGTACAGAGGTCTGCTCCTGGTATAAACACCTCACAAAAGCCCTTCAGTTCTTTTGTTCTCTTCTTTTCTACCTGATGGGCCAGGTGGGACTTTTTGGCTTGTGTCCAATTAGATGACCTCGAGTTTTTGGTGAAGTGTCTGAGATCCTATGAGGTGGCTTTTCCCTAATCGGTGAGAGAAACTTGTGGGCTTCTTTCCTTTTTTGGGGGACAAAGGCTAGTTTTGCCACTCTTGTCATTAGGGGGCACGCTCCTACAAAGATGGGTCTGTCTTTCTGCAGAGAACACTGTATGTGCACTTGCAGCCAACTGATTGGAGGCTGTAATTCCAGAAAAATGGTGCGTTATTTCATGCCATAGGTGGGCCATATGGCACAGTAGAGACTTGCCAAGCTGCAGTAGCAGCCTGCCTGTTAAATTGACAGGCTGAGCTAGTGGCTTGAGTTTATTCAATTTTTGCTTTGAAGAATCAGACATGCAATGCAAAGGGTGTCCAAGACCCCTCAGAAGTTTTGCCCTGAGGCCAGTAACATCCTTTCTGTCTGAGTGATGGCTTCAGGCTTTTCCCTTAGGAAGCTTCTTGCTTGAGGCTCCTGGCACGTAAACTTCCAGAGATGATAAAAAAACATCAGAGGTAGCTTATTACCTGGGTTTATAATTGTCTTTTAGTTCGGGATCATTGGGGTTTCACCTTATTTCTAAATGAAAGCCTGAATGTCTCCAACATTCTTTTGCTTCAGGAACTGGCATGCCATGTCATTGACAAGCCATGGAATTTGACCACAAAAATGGCAACAGTAGAGTTTCCAATTAGAATTGCAATGAGCCTTGTGGGCCTTCCTCCGAGTCTGCTTCCTTGCCATCTTCTCCCTGGAGGGAACCATTTTTGCTTGTCTGAAATCCATTTTTGCTTGTTGAGTAGCCTCTGCTTTTAAAAGATAGCTGCTGAGTCAGCAGGATTTTTTTATTTCTGACTGATGATTTGTATTATTTATGACTTATATATTCCAGACAAAGGCAGTGAAGAGGTGCTAGACTTGAAAAGTTATTTGACAAGCAGTAATGAGCCTCTTGGATGGAGAAGGAGGAAACTTTCTTTTTTTAGCACTAACAGTGCTAACAAGGAATTCTTAAAGTTGCAGTGGGGCTCTGGCCTCGAATGGGTTTGATGGGTTGCATGTCAAATATATTCAACAGTACAGAATGTTTCTGTACAGGATGTTTCTATAACAGTGAAGTTGCAGACCTGCACTTTTTTTCATTGTGGAAGCTAATCCTAAACTACCTTGTCATTTTCAACCACTGCTGCCTCTTCACATCAGAGGGTACTTACCTATCCTTTTTCTTTCAGTTTGCATTAGCACTTTTATACCCTGTATCTCCACTGCTTCAAAATCTGCGTGTTGTAAAAACTTGGAACATATGTCTCAAAGGAATCTAGTGTGCACCTTCAATGCCTCCATTTTAGCTGTACAAATGTCTTTAAATATCTTTTCAGCATTTGAAGATAATGGTATGCAAGGTCTCAATTTGTGCTTCTCTGGGCTTGTGCACACTGCATACAGCAAATCCACCAGTCCTGGTGCAGCACAACTACTGCTGTTGCCAAAAGCCTGCAATTGCCATAGCTGTAACTCATTAAACTGAACATTCAGATTTATTCTCCAAACTGTGAATAACTTTTTTATCCCTTACCTGGAAGAAGATTCTAAATGGATGAATTATTTACCCTGTAAATCTAGAGACAACATCAACAACAACAAAAATAAAAAATCAAGGTTATTAACCTGTGTTTTGGCCTCATGGTGTGTTCAAGTTGTTGCATGTCATACAGGCAAGGCAATACTGTGCATGTGCAACACTTGTAAAGTAAAAATAGCTCGTGGATTTTTACTTCACAAACTTGGCACAATCTGTAATTCTGGGAATGACCCTGGTGAAAATACACATGGTGCACATGTGCTGTAAATTTGTTTTTCTTCAATAGAAGAAAGAATACAAGGCTTCTAGAGTGTTATCGATGGGTTTCTAAATTGTGCAAAATATGTTTCTGGAATGGTATTTCAGCTTCCCAAAGGCAAGTGAGAAATGAAAAATTTTCCTGCTATCAGTGTAATTAGCGGCTACTTGCACTCCATGTGGATTGTGATTGAGTTCAGTTTTCATCATGTGTGTTTTTAAAGGGCTAAAAGAGTTCTGCCAACCCTTGAAGTATAAAAGCAGCTGTAAAGTGCTCTAAAGAGGCAATATAAAATATCATGCATGTTGTTTAATGACTAAAGAAACTACAACTCTTTTAAAATTAAAATTGTGAAGGGGTTCAGTTGACTCTATTGACTTTTGGCAGACCTTACTCAAATGTCCAGTTCTTAGAAAGCAGCTTCAGGGTGTAACTACCACAGCATTGTTGGTGATGACAGACTAGTGGGTGCTGCATTGTTGCACTGGGGTGAGGGAATGTCACTCCACATCTCTATTTCACAAGTTCTCCTGTTCTAGCAAGAGACATTTATTTACTCTTCCCTCGTTTCTGAACAGTGATTCCCTGGAAGCTGCCCAGCCTGCCCCGGTGAGGAGTGTCCCTGCCTGCCAGGACAACGTGGATGTGAGACCTGCTCCTGCCAACTCCTCACCTGCTGCAGTCCTCAAGCCAGTGGCACCCCTGGGTTCTGCCAAGGGCTGGCAGCCTCCAAACCAAGCAGGTAACTTCCAGAGAGGCTTTTCCTTGGTGACCTAAAGACCTTTGGATGGCTCAGGAAAACAAACTTCACCTTGGGCGTAAAAACAACAGGCTTCAAATGGCTGTTTGTGAGTTTTGACAACAGGCCAGTTTGCTAGGAAAAGAGGAGCAGAAAAAACAATTTAGCTGTTTTAGTAAACCAGTAGCTCTTTATAAGTACCCTCATATATGCAATTCATTTCACAAACAAGCAAAATCCGTTGCCTTACACCTGTATTAAAGGCATTTATGCCAATCCAATATATGTATATACACCCCACAGTTTCATCTTGGTGCTTCCCATGTGACCGTAGATTCAAGCATATCCCATGCTATTTCAGGTAGGAATATCGACATATGTTGATATTATGCATATATATGGGTTTTCCAAGTGATCTTTTCAGAAGTACTAATTAATTTAAAAAAGATAAAAAAGGCTGAAGCACTAGAGTGTTTATGTATTGGACATCTGTAGGTTTTATTTGAGCAGGGTGCCATATTATTATGTAAGTTTGGGTTACAGAGATTTGTGTAAAAATTCTTACAAGGACAATTCACATAGCTACTACCTTTGAATGAACTTTGGTGATTTCTAAACCTTTGAACCCACACCAGAATGTGTTGTATCTGGAAAGCATTCTGTTTTCTTTATGAGCACTCCTGTGTTATTAAATAATACAGATACATTTGTATGTGTAACTGTGTACTTAGGTTTTCATAGTATTACATGCAGTAGTTACTTGGGGTAATTTTTTAAGCTGAATCAGTCTTTGATGCTGAATTAAATTTGTGTAGTAATTTTAAAGGATCTGGGAAATCTGTATTATTAATTAAGCTTTAGCTTCAGATTTTTCTTGCTAATATGACATGAGTAGTCTTGATTCTCTTTCTGACAGGATCAATTATGCTAAATCGTTCTATTAGTTTGGTTTTATTCTGTGTAAGGGTTTTCCTTCTTTAGAAGTATATCCAGTCTCAAAATGGAACTATAGAAGCCCTGGCATGAAAAAAAAGAAAAAAAAATACGGTGTTAATGCTGAATGTTTTATAATGGCTTTGTCACTTCTATTGAATGTCTGCTGTGGTTGGTAGCAAATGGATGTATTTTGATTGGGCTATGCAGTTCTGTAGGAAGCCTCAAGATGGCAATGCACTGTCATTGCTGTACTTTCCTGGAAATAGTGAGTCTGCTAATGAAGGCAAGGTAAAGATTTCTTAAAATTTAGATCAGTTTAATTCTAGCACTGTTTTACTTCTCTGAGTTAGCTAGCATTAAAATGAAAAAAAAATCTCAAAACAACAGAAGCCCCAACACTTTTTAAAGTAATGTTTTTGGTAGTATGTGTGCTTAAAGCAAGCTTTTGTGGTCATGTCATAATCCTGCATTTTTGTAAGTGACTGGTTGTGCTTCACAGTTGATATGACTGTCTGTCTCACCAAGTGATGAATTATTTAACTTGCATAGAAACCACCCATCAGTTTGGAGTTTCTGTAGTACTACACTCATTTTTAGTATGTTGGTAGGTGTTTCACTGCTAAATCCTACTAGTGTGCTCTAGTATTAATATGAGTCAGGTGTATGAAATAGCCCTTTTTTGTTTAAGATGTTCATGAATGAGAGAGTTTTAAAGAGATTACTTACATTGCACTTGATTCTGTAGTGCTCTGAAAATCTATGCCTATGCTCTTGCATAATGTGAATTTTTTTTTTTTACATCAGAGATACCAAGTAGGCAGGTGAGAGGGAAATCCAGGCAGAGAATTTTTGATTATTATGTTCCAGAACAGCTTAAAGAAAGTTTAGAAAGTTCATACTGGCAGCGAAGCTGGTGAGAAGAAATGATGATGAGGATGTCAGCTTTGTGCTGTCTTGATGAAGGGTTTTGAGATGCACTGCTTAAGTTCCAAAGAAGCAAAGCTGTTATCTCTCCCCAAACATATTGGGGGAGCCAGAAATAAAAGCTGTAGGAGAAGGAGGCATTGAAAACTCAAGAGTTCCCTAAAACTGGAGAGTACAGGGAAGATAATGCAGCAGTGTGAATGGCAGCTGCCCAGGAATTAACAGGGTGGGAGGAGGTATGATGTCCCAGGTGCCAGAGGAGCTTCAGTTTACATTTGCTTCTTAGGAACACAGAGAGTCACCCATTGCTATGGGAAACCAGTCTGTGCTTGTCCCCTGTAGGTGGAACAGCAGTCAGGTAAAACTCTTTTGTTTTTATCAATTTTTATCATCTGACTAATTTTATCAAAACATTTGTAATTGAATGTTTTGATAAAATTAGTCAGATGTTGAAGAAAAAAAAAAGACTATAAGTGTTTCAGAGAATGCTTGGACTTCAGTTCTGCTGTTTCTTTGCAGTCTGTGAGCATAAAGTTTTCCTTAAAGTAAAATTTCCAGTACTCCTCAGGCCAAACAAAATTTGGCTTCATAGGCCATAAGCCTGACAAAGTTTTAGACAAAAAAACTCCTTTGATTTCATAGCTGAAGTCTACCTTAGGAAATAATTAGAAGGAAGATACAGTCTCATGTAAATGTATAATGGTATGCTATTAATAGCAGAAATGTATTGGGAGCACAGTTTTGTAGCTCTGATACCACTCACCCTTCTAATGAATATTGTGTATAACACCAAGTTGTTTCCAAAGCAAAATAGTAATGTCATAGGATTTTGTTCATGCCTGGGGAAGCTGTAAGATGCTGATTGATGGTGTGGCATGAAGATTACCAGTGATTTTATTAAGTTGTCTGACTACAGAGGTATGTCATTTGGGTAGATGACATCTTTTCAATTATTAGTTAGAAAGATCTCTTTCTTGTATAGGTCACCCAGAGAATACTTTGTTGGTTTGGTTTTTTTTTTAAATAAAAGTATTATGACTTTTTTTTTTTTAAGCTTCACTGTAGGGGTTTGGGGTGATTTGTTGATTGTTATGGGTTTTTATTTTTTTGAGATTGTGCAGAGATGCCTGAAGGTGTCAGAGGGATTTTGTTGTGAGATATGAGCGATTTCATCATCTGGCAACATGATGGTTCAAAGTTGAATGGCAGAGATAGTGAACCTGAAGATGGTTCAGGGATTGGGTTTCTCTCTACAGAAGTCTCATGTGAGTGGATCTCACAGTGATAGCACCTTTGGGCCTGAATTATCCTCATTGGCTTGTGGGGGCCATTCATGGAGTACCCATGGACGTTACTATGCTAGTTGTCCACTATGTTGGTAATAGAGGTTTTATTCCTCTTTGGAACAAAATCCTAATATTAGAGGATCCCTCAGTTTGCTAGTGGAGATGAGAGATGGCTGCCTCATGCTTTCTTTTAAGGCATGGGTAAGAAGCTCGATAATCTTCAATTTTTTTTCTGTTGTTGAAATAAGAAAAACACACTGTTATAGTGTGTTATATGTGCAGACTAGAATTTATAATAGTTCTTGCTTCATTTTTGTTGAGCTTCATTATGAAGCTCTGCTCACCTACCAGATGCACAAGATTTTTACAAGATTATTTTAAATTCAAAGAATGGAATAACCCAGAGCATCCTGGCTACCTTGCAGTGAGCTAGTCTATATTTGATAACTATGACTCTACACTTGCATAGCATGGCTCACCCCCAAGGAGCCCCAAAGCACTTTCTAGTCCTGGGCAAGGACACGGTGCACGCACAGGAATGGCTTTCACTCACCACTGCCACGCAGCCACCTCGTGGGTGAGAGATGACAGCTGCTTGTCAGCGTGCCGTGACATTCCACGGCAACTTGAAAGGAAGCGAATAGCACCGTGGCAAATTGAGGCTGCTGGGACAATCTCAGAAGGTGTTACTGCCTGGACCAGCTGGAGTCAGTCCAGGAGACAAACTGTTCTCAGGGAGAGTGTAGCAGGATCGGTGATGGTCAGAAGCAGTCAGGACTTCCAGTGTTACCTTTCTCACATGAAATTGCCTTCTTATACCTGACATCTTTCCAACCTTTTGCTGGGGGGTGAGCTGCTGAGGCATGGGGACCATAGGGGCTGTGTGCCAGGCACAGCACTGCCAGTCCCACACCCTGCCTTCCAGTACAGGAGCTGGGCAGGCAGCATCCCGCTCGCTTGTGGGGTCCCGTGGGATGGCAGGGGGACTGAGGGGAGCTGTTACAGCTGGTGGCCAGAAAGGCTGGTTTGCTTCTTGGAAAGGAGAGTTTCATTGCAGTCGATGCCCTTTGTTCCTCCTAGGCTTTGCAGTTGAGTCAGAGGAATGGGATGGGGAAGGTTTGTGGTGGAAGCATTCAAAGCTGGTGTTTTAAGTGACCCTTTACTCAGCTGTGCCAGTTTCCTTGTTCCCAGGGTCTCTCTCAGCCTGGTATCACTGGGATATATAATCCCCTTACAGCAGAGCTGCTAGGGAATGTCAGCATATTTTGCAATACGCACAACTGTCAGTTGCCTAATCCTGAGCAAGCACATATGTTAAGCACATGATCCCTTCAGCAGAGGGAACACACTTAGAAACGGCTGCAAGCACATAAAAAGTACTCCCCAGACAACTTTGTTTTAAGAATTCTGCTGTTTCCTTGAAGTTGTTTTTGTGTACTTGGTAGCCTTGAACTTACCTCCTCTGGAGTTATCCATAGCTTTCCTCCTGCATTTTGTTTTTTATATGCCATTCCCACAATCATATTAAAATTATAAAAGCAAAAGAAAATGTAAGCCTCTTCTTAGGCGTGACTTGACATTGTGCTCTATTGGCAGTTTGAGTCTTTGTTTCCCTCCTTGCTATTTATTCTGCTACTTATTTATGTAGAAAAAATAGAATTAAAATTGTATATCAAACTGTGGAATTTGGCCATCAGGGCAAACAGTATGGAACTGTGGAGGGGGAGGAAGGCACCGAGATATACTGTGGTATCACAAAACGCTTATACTGCCAGTAAGTCCTCAAGGGATTAAGTACCATAAAGGGATGGACTGCGGCACTTTTCGTCCTTGTCACTTTTGTTTTTCTGTGTTTCA